GGAGGCGGCGGCGGCGGCGGCAGAGGTCGAAGGAGTGGGGCTGGGCGCGCAGGCGCGGTCCGGCTCTTATCCGCGCCGGGGCACCCGGATGGAGAAGGCGGGGAATCGCGTGCAGCCGGGAAGACGCTCAAGGTCACTTTGTAACAACTTTATTGGTAACCAGCTGGGAAGGACACTGACAGCCTTCCGAGGATGGGCTGACGGACAGGGGCTGCTGAAGGAGAGAGGGAAGAAGTTGACCACTAGCCCTGGCAGAGAGAAAGAAGGGCTACGTTTCTTTCGGTTGACACCTGAGACAGTTGGCCTTTTATCAGTTGCTCTTAAGGAGAGGGGTCCCCTTCCTGGCCATTTTTCTCTGTGAAATAGAAGTGTGTGTGTGTGTGTGTGTGTCTGTGTCTGTGTCTGTGTGTGAAAAGGGTGATTCCCTACTTAACAGGTCAAATTAGGGTCCCCAGCAAAGTGAGTGCATTTCTTTAAACTTTAAAGAAGTGGTTCTCAACCTTCCTAATGCCACGACCCTTTCATACAGTTCCTCATGTTGTGGTGACCCCCAATTTCATTGTTACAAATTGAACATAATTGAAGCATAGTGATTAATCACAAAAACAATATGTAATTATATATGTGTTTTCCGATGGTCTTAGGCGACCCCTGTGAAAGGGTCGTCCGACCCCCAAAGGGGTCGCAACCCACAGGTTGAGAACCGCTGCTTTAAAGGAATCTGGAAAAGGATTCCAGGGGTATGCTTAATCCTTTGGATGAAAGACCTGGAAGTTCTGGGACAAAGGAATGAGCAGATGAGTACATCTAAGAGTTTGGTGAATTTGGGCACAAAGTTGACTCTTAGTAAAGTGAGAGAGGTCAATTTTTCTTCCAGCTCTATGATCGGGAGAATTCAGTGATTATAATGTCTTTGATGCAGGGTCTGAGACTAAAGAAAAGACTGGATGTTTTCAAAACCTACCCAACTTTAACAACCGTTTTTTGCTAACGTTGGACAAATACTTTTTCTTCAGATGACCACAGAAATGTCTCAGAAATGTGCCAAACTTCTACTTTGCTGAGGCTACTGATTCAGATGTTAATCCAGAAACACCTTCACAGACACACCCAGAAATCATGTCTAATCTCGGCCCCCCAAACCGATACATAAAATTAACCATCACGTGTTTATACTTCAATAATAGATCCTCTTCAGGGAAAAATTATTCTAAATGGATTTGTATATGGAGATGGATTAAGGGAAGCTCCTATCTGTTCAGCTATAAATCAGTAGCAGCAACTATTGAGGAGGAGGAGTAGGCAGGAGACAAGCCAGGATTCCTAACAGGATCACTTCAGGGTACATACCACAGAGGCCTGTGGCAGGGAGAGGTGAAGTCTAAGTTCAGACCCTGCACTGTCTGCACGTCGATAAGCAGGTGAACTGGCCTAGAAGAGGAGAGAGTAGGTGCTTTGTGGGTTCCATCAGTTAGAGTTTAAATATTTATGAAGAATAGTAGGTGTTCAAAGAACAGATATTGTATCTTTGAAAATGGTGTGTGTGTGTGTGTGTGTGTGTGTGTAACACGTAGAGAGAAAGAAAGGACCCACCCAATAATTATTTGCTGGAGGAAGAAAGACTTTAAATAATAAGGAAGCATATCCACCTCACACAAGCTGGAGGCTAGAAACTAAAGGCTTCTAAAGGGCAATCTACACAGTTGAGGGCTCTGACCATGGCCATATCTCCAAGGTGCTTTCTAGAGCAATTTACTTTGACTTTGCTGACTTTTGCATCCTCAGACTTACACTGATAGAAGGAGGGGAGTGGATCTTGACTGACACCAACCCATGTTGACAGGGGGTATATATTTGCACTGAGGGAATTTGAAGAAAAAAGGCACCTTCTGAGAAGAGTACAGTGAGACCATAAAGATGAATAGAGAACGTTTTGTGAAGTGTTTAATCCTCTCTGTATTTTTTTCTTAGACTGTAGAGATACGTTAAATTATAAGACATCATAATTTGGTAGTGTCTGGTAAGCCTGGTGATGATAGGGGAAGAAAGAAATGGGGAGGTAAAGAGAAGTATGAAAAATCATTTCCCATATAGCTCCTATCCTGCAATCCCCTCTGCACTCACTCACCAAGCAGTGGAGTCTGTTTCTCTTGTTAAATGTGGGCTGACCCAGTGACTTGCTTTGACCAAGAGAATGTCTTGGAAGTGGCAATTTGTGACTTCTGGACTAGGCCTGAAGGGGTCCCATAGCTTTCATTCTCTCTTTCTTGGAAGCCAGCCACCATATCAAGAAACATGGGTTTCATTAAAATACCAATGGCCTACTTCAAAGATCTAGAATGATCTCTCCAAAAATTCATCTGGAATAAAAAAAGACCCCGAATAGCTGCAGCAATCCTGAGAAAGAACAAAGTAGGTGGGATCTCAATGCCAGATATCAAGCTGTATTACAAAGCCACTGTTCTCAAAACTGCCTGGTACTGGCACAAGAACAGACATATAGATCAATGGAATAGAATAGAGACCCCAGAAATCAGCCCGAACCAATATGCTCAATTAATATTTGACAAAGGAGGCAAGAACATACAATGGAGCCAAGGTAGTCTCTTCAATAAATGGTGTTGGGAAAATTGGACAGATACATGCAAGAAAATGAAACTAGACCACCAACTTACACCATACACAAAAATAAACTCAAAATGGATAAAGGACTTAAATATACGACGGGAAACCATAAAAATACTAGAAGAATCCAAAGGCAACAAAATCTCAGACATATGCCGAAGCAATTTCTTCACCGATACAGATCCTAGGGCATTGGAAACTAAAGAGAAAATAAACAAATGGGACTACATCAAAATAAAAAGTTTCTGCACAGCAAAAGAAACCATCAACAAAACAACAAGAAAGCCCACTACATGGGAGAACATATTTGCCAACATTATATCTGATAAGGGCCTAATCTCCAACATTTATAGGGAACTCATACAACTTAACAAAAGGAAGATAAACAATCCAATCAAAAAATGGGCAAAGGACCTAAATAGACACCTTTCAAAAGAGGACATTCAGAAAGCCAAGAGACATATGAAAACATGCTCAAAGTCACTAATCATCCGAGAGATGCAAATCAAAACAACAATGAGGTACCATCTCACACCTGTCAGAATGGCTATCATCAACAAATCAACAAACGACAAGTGCTGGAGAGGATGTGGAGAAAAAGGAACACTTGTGCACTGCTGGTGGGAATGCAGACTGGTGCAGCCACTATGGAAGACAGTATGGAGTTTCCTCAAAAAACTGGAAATGGAACTCCCATTTGACCCTGTGATCCCACTTCTAGGAATATATCCCAAGAAACCAAAAACACCAATCAGAAAGGATATATGCACCCCTATGTTCATAGCAGCACAATTCACCATAGCTAAGATTTGGAAACAGCCTAAGTGCCCATCAGTAGATGAATGGATTAGAAAACTGTGGTACATCTACACGATGGAATACTATGCTGCTGT